ATACGATGTATTGCATTAGGCAAATCTGTTGCACCAGACCTTTTTAAAGTGTTGAAGAGCAAAGATGTCAGCTTGAGGACTAAGGTGTGCCTGATCCAAGCCATGGTATTTTCAATAACCTCATATGCATGCAAAAGTTGGACAGTAAATAAGGAAGACTGTAAAAGAATTGATACTTCTGAGTTATGGTGTTAGAGGAGAATATTGAAAGTGCCATGGGATACCAAAATAACCAATAGATCCGTTTTGGAAGAAGTGCAGCCAAAGTGCTCCTTGTAGGCCAAGATGGCCAAACTTTGTCTCTCATACTTCAGACATATTGTCAGGAGGGACTAGTCGCTGGAGAAGGATATCATGTTTGGTTAGGTGGAGGGTCAGAGAAAAAGGGGAAGACCCCCAACGAGATCAATTGGCCAACTGGCAGCATCGATGGACTAAAATGTGGCAACAGTAGCAAGGTGGGCCCAGGATCGGGCAGTGTTTCATTCTGCTGTTCATAAGGTCGCTATGAGTCGGTACCTACTCAAAGGCACCTAACAATACGAACAACATACTGAATCCTGGTGTGGTGCTGTGGGTTAATGCGCCAGACTAAAAGACGTTTGAACTGCAAGGTAGGCGGTTCAAGCTCACCAGCTGTTCCTGTGAAACCCTATACAGGGCGCTATGGGTTGGAACCGACTTGACAGTACTTAACAGCAACGAGTCCGGGTGTGGTGCTCACTGTGGGTCAATGAGCTGTACTACAAAGTCGATTTGAACTGCACGGTCAGCTGTTCAAGCTCCCCAGTTGCACCTTAGAAACCATATACAGGGTTGTTATGTGTTGGAACTGACTCAGCGGTGCTTAATAACGGTAACAACAACATAATGAAGTGCAAGTTTGGCAGTTCAAACTCACTAGCTGCTCCTTGGAAATCTTAAACAGGGTTTCTATGAGTCAGAACAAACTCAACGGCACTTGACAACAACAACAATATATTTTCATTGGAGTCTTGGTGTGGTGTTGTAGGATAAGCACTGGACTGTTTAACCGTAAGTTCGAATCCACAGAAACCCTGTACTTGGTCACTATCAATCCAAACCAATTCAACAGCACTTAACACCACCAACATTATCTTCAATGACTCATTGACCTAATAACTTTAATAATTTTTCTTCCCTTCAGAGCAATTTTATTTATCGTTAATTTTTCCAAGAAGACGTTTAGGTAGCTCATATAAAGTTTATAAACAAAGAAGGAAAATAAAAATAAGGATCAAAGGATCATGGGAGAGTCACATAGCTCTTTAAAAAGGTAGAGGATTGGGCTTTTAGTAAGTTTTACCCTACTAGCTACATTTTTTGCTTTTCTATCTCCCACACAAATAAAGTCTAACTCTGAAAACAAGTCGGAAGACACTAAAAAATACAAAATATTCTTCAAGAAATGAAGACCTCAACAAGAGCCACACTGCTAGGGCAAAAACAACTGTAATGACATTAGGGCTTGCAATTCTGTTTTCTGAGATTCTCAACAATGTTGCTTTATTTCAACTCCTTTGTTGTTGTTGTTGTTATGTGCCGTGGAGTCGGTTCCGACTTATAGTGACCCTGTACAGGGTTTCCAAGGCTGTAAATCTGTACGGGAGCAAAAAGCCTCATCTTTCTCCCACAGAACAGCTGGTAGTTTCGAACTGCTAACCTTGCGGTTCACAGCCCGATTCGTAACCACTATGCTACCAGAGCTCCTTTTATTTCTCATTAATTCAATTGCTTGTTTGTTTACTATGCTTCTTTGCTAAAGAATATATAAATGCATCAGTGAGTCTGAACAAAATTTGAGAAAGAGCTTCTGAGTCATAACAGAGACAAATTTTTCAAGTGTTTCTTCCATAGTGTTGCATTTATTTTATTAATTTATTGAAAAATGTCTTTAATATATCTTCAGATCTCAGAGGCTTAAATGATCATTCAAAACCAATACATAATTATTTCTTGTTATTCAAGATAATAATGAGTTGGCAACACCAGATAGTAAAAGGTAAAAACAGAAGCAAAAAAAAGGAGGAAAAAGCATAGGGAGTCTTTTAAAATGTGTACAAATAATAATAACATGAGAGATAAATTTCTTACAGCATGCACTACTGACCCTTTTTGGTTATTTCCTTACCTGTGAGTGTTCTTGGATTTTATAATCCAACTTTTGTTGACCTGAATCTGAAAGTGTTTTCCTTCTTTCTTTTTCCAGTTGCACACTTTCTGAGCCTAAACTTTTAGCATGTGGTTTACTAGTATCCACTTGTAGGGTTATCTTAGTCTGCTCACTTGTAAGTAATTCTTTCTTTTGATTTAGAAAATAGTCAAGTTGATGCTTAGTTTTTTCAGCTTCCTGTTTAAAAAAAAAATAACAGTTATCACATCTTGTTTTATGTGATGATTTCCTGCCATACTACAATTTTCAGGGAACTGCACATATTCATGTTCCCATTATGTCTCAAACTTTTATTTTCACTGAATTGGAAGAAGCTAAATTAAGTCAGTGGTGTAATCCATAGATGTATAGCTCAACAACTCAAATAAAAAATTGTGAAGGAATTTCAAATACTTGAGGGCTATTTTTATACCCAGGAGGTTCTCTTGCTATTATTTTTTAAATAGCTCTATTATATGTGCACAGTAAAAATTAATGAAATATACATTATAAAAGTAGTAAGTTATAACCAGAAGAATTAATATCCACAATATCAAAGAATGAAAGAAAAATTAGAAATTTATTTATTTATTTATTCTAGAATACAAATGGTCTTAAAAGCATCACTTTGGAGTATTTTTTTAAATGTTTATATAATCATACAAGTAGCACAAACTATTTGTATAAAAGCATATATAGATAAGAAAAAGAAAGCTCACATAGAAATTTCACCACAAAGAAAAAGAACCTTTTCAGATTTTTATGTACATTCTTCTTTGGTTGTTTCTATAAAGGTAGTACATATACGCATATTTTTTAACTATTATCTGGATTGAATTATTGTGTACATATTCACATCATCTGTTCTTTTCATTAGCTAACATTGTAGTTATGCTCCCAAGACAATAAATATACATCAGAATCAAAATAATTAGCAGAAGTACATTTAACAATATAAATATACTTAGCAAATTTCTTATTGATGGGCATTTATGTCATCTACAAATTTTTGCTATAAAATCTTTACAGGATACAAACGTATACCAAATTTCTGTACTTTTTTTTTTTTTTTTTTCTTGTTTTGTGATGAATGTTTAGAAGCTGAATTGTTGAATAAAAAGGCTATGGCTTTACAAGACTTTTAATAGTAACTCGGACTGTGGAGAAAAGTGTGTGAAAGAAAACTCATTGCAGCACACACCTTCAGAGATACTATATATTTCTATTTCTTAAACTTTTACCAATTTATTAATAAAAAATGACCACACTGATATTTTTTGCTGCATTTATTTTAATAACTAGTAATGTTGAATATATATTGTACACATGATTGTACTTGAATACTTCTAAATTCGGTCTTGCCTACCTTGTATCCTTTGTCTATTTTAGAGAATGGCTCTTTCTGTTCCTCACTTTTTTGTAAAAATTAATAATAATAATCTATCCATTTCTGAAAAAACCCATTTCTCTTTATATCTTACAAGAGCATTACCATAAACAAGTTTTAGGTATAGCCAAATTTCTTTGTGCTGTAATCTTAGGAAATCTTGCTCTAGTCAAAACTACAAAACTGTTTACCAAGTGCGTATTCTAATATATTCATACTGCACTCTTCCTTTTAAAATCCAAATCAATCTGCAAGTCATTCTGGTGCACTGGTTGAAATAGAGACCTACCATTATTTTTTCCCATTAGCTTACTTTTCACAAACATCTTTTCTTTCTATGGTAAATCTTAATAAATAAAACTATCATGTACTAAATTGTTATATGTATTTGAATGTGCTTCTGGACTTTCCAATCAGTACCAGAATCAGTACTATAATACTTTAGTTATTACAGTTTCATATTACATATTAATCTTTAGATGAAGAAAAGTCCCCTAATGATTCTCCTTTTATATAATCACCAGTTTCTTATATTAATGTCTTATAATAATTACGTTAGGTTGAAAAATAATTTCATTATCTCTAGAAGTAAATTGCTTCAAGTTTATACATTAATTTGGATAAAATACAAAATTGAAATAGTTGTAATATTTATCCTTCAAAACAAAACCATAAATTTCTATTTCTTTAATGTTCATCTAAAGAAAATACTATTTTTCTTTACATGAAGTTCTATATATATTTTTGCTGCTGTGGCGCTGTTGGTTAATGCACCAGACTGCAAAGCCATTTGAACTGCAAGGCTGGCAGTTCAAGCTCACCAGCCGCTCTTTGGAAACCCTATACAGGTGGCTATGGGTCGGAATTGACTCAACGGCACTTAACAACAACAATATTATTTTAAACTAACAGTATGAACAAAATTATGTTTTCTTATTAGTTGTTTCTGGTAAATAGGAAGCTTAATGGTTTTTATGCCTATAACTATTTTGTCCCCATCATCTTGTTTAAAAATTAAGAATAAGTTTGTTGAAAGAAAATTATATAATCACCAAATAATACTTTTTCCTATCAATTGATAAACATATTTATAATTCTTTTCATTTCTTGTCTTATTGTTTAGCTATAATTTGAAAAAAAAAGCAGTAAAGGTCAATATTATAATGTAACAGGGTTTAATTAGAAAATCTGTAGTATTTTACTTTTGATTATATATTATCCATAGTCTTGAAATAAATTTTCTGTACTGAATTAATCAAATTTACGTTTCTTCCTAACTTGCTGAGTTCCTTAGTTAAAATAATATTAAGCTGTATGAATATATCCGTAATGTCTAAAATGGAGTTTTGGTGTGGCGCTGTGGGTTAATGCACCAGACTGCAAAGCTGTTTGAACTCAAGGTCAGCAGTTCAAGCTCACCAGTTGCTCCTTGGAAACCCTATACAGGGTCGCTATGAACAGGAACTGACTTGATGGCACTTAACAATGATAACAATGCATAAAAAAAATATTTTTTTAACCTAACAAAGTAGTACAATATAGAGTACTAATAGTACATTTTACAAGGCAAAAAATTTTCATTAAAAAAATGCCTTATATGTTTTCCATTTGTTACTGAATTTTAAAGTAATATCCTATCCTTTACCTGTACAGCCTGTTTCAATTGTTCCTGAAGTACTTTGTTCTCAATTTCCAGAGCATTTACTGCTTTCTAGGACATTTAAAAAATAAAAAGTGTTAGCTTTGATACCTTTTGCTTTTTAAAAAAAATTTTTTGTTAATTATTATCTTTCCAAAATCCAATGATAACAAAGCTATTATTTCAGTACGCCCATTTAATTCTACTCGTCTCAAGCAAAATTCTGTTATCTGTACTTTCCTATTAGTTTTTCACAGCCAAATTGACTTTAAATTTAGCAAATTTCAGTTACGATAAAGATTTCATTAATTCTTTTTTCTAGGCATAAATAATTAAATAAAGACATTTCAAATTGTATGGCAAAAAAGCCAAAATAAATACAAAAGGAAAATAAACAATTCTGAGTTTGAAAGAATGAGTGGATTTGATTGCACATGAAAAGACTCAGAAATTCTCCACCAAATGGACAGCAGTTAGAAAAAGCAGCTTTCAGATTCCCATTATGCATCTTGTAGGCAGAACACATTCCTACTAGACAAACCATGCCACATATAGCAAAAAATTCTAGTCAATATGCAAATATCAACAGTGGAGAGCAACCAACAAAGAGTCAGTAGGTTCTAGAGAGAAACTGACCCTTGGAAAAAGGGCGAGCACATCAGTCCATGGGTTCAAGTTTGAGGGCAAGCCTTTAGCCTGTACCATACAGGGTGGTTAATAGCTGACATAAACTCTTAAGTGTTTACAAAGACTAGAGGACAGAGTTCATGGCAATCACAGTAACTGGAACAATATCACACAGAGAGAGGAGGAGTGCAGTGAATTACTTTTATTTGGCCTTTCTAGTCGTGGTCTGTAACTCCCATAAAGTCATTGCCTGGGACTATGCAAAATGACCATCACTTGTCTGTCCGTTTGATCTACTGTGGGAATTTGAAGGTTGCTATAATACTGAAAGCTACACCACTGGTTTTTTAAAAACCAGCAGGGTCAACCATGATGGACAGGTTTCAGCAGAGCTTCCAGACAAACACAGACTAGAAAGAAGGAGAGACAGACTATTTCTGAATGTTTAGCCACTGAAAACCTTATGAACAGTAGCAGAGCAATGTCAGATATAGTACCAGAAAGTGAAACATTATAAATAACACCAGAATATTGTAAGACATAGTGCCAGAACATGAGCCCCTCCGGTTGGAAGGCACTAATTATGTTGCTGTTGTTGTTAAATGCTGTTGAGTTGGTTATGACTCATAGCAACCTTGTATAGGGTCTCTCAGGGGCAGCTAGTTACTTGTAACTGCCAACTGTGTGGTTCAAACTGACCTTGTAGTCCAGTACTTATCCTATAGCACCACACAAGGCACTCAAGATAGAAGGAAAGAACTGCCTCCTCAAAGTAGAGTAGAATACGAAGACGAGAATGGAGAAAAGCTTTCGGGACCCTTCATTTGCTGATGGGGAACAACTCAAAATAAGAAAAAACAGCTATAAACATCTGATAATAATTGGGACATAGAATTACAAAGTATGAATCTAGATTTGTTAAAAATTGTCAAAAATAAAATGGAATGCATAAAAATCCTACACATTAGTTAACTGAAATGGCAGGTAGTAGCCATTTCGAATCTGACAATCATATGGTTTACTAACCCAGAAACAACAAATTGATGAGGGATGGTGTACCATTCATCATCAAAAAGAACATTTTAAAAGCTGTCTTAAAATACACACTTATCCACGACAGGATAATATCCATGTACCTACAAGGAAGACCCATTAACACAATCATCCAAATGTATACACCAACCACCAAAGCCAGTGAAGATGAAATTAAAGAATTCTACCAACTTCTTCAGTCTGAAATTGATAAACATGCAATTGAGATATATTGATAATTACTGGTGATTGGAATGCAAAGGCTGGAAACAAAGATGAAGGCTCAATAGTTGGAAAATATGGCCTTGGTGTAAGAAATTATATTGAAGATCAAATGATAGAATTTGGCAAGACCAATAACATATTCATTACAAATACCTTTTTAAAATAACATAAAAGGTGAGTATACACATGGACCTCACTAAATGGAATACAAAGGAATCAAATTGACTATACCTTCGAATGGAGACAGTGGAAAAGCTTAATAACATCAGCCAAAACAACTTCCCATCACATGTCTGTCAGTTTGTCCTACTGTGGGGGCTTGTGCAGTTGCTGTGATTCTGGAAGCTATGCCACCAGTATTTTAAATACCAGCAGGTCACCATGGTGGACAGGTTTCAGATGAGCTTCCAGACAAAGACAGAATAGGAAGAAGGAGTGACGAACTATGTCTGAATATTTAGTCACTGAAAACCTTATGAATAGCAGAGAAACACTGTCAGATATAGTGCCGGAAAATGAACCCCTCAGGTTGGAAGACACTCAAAATGCGACTGGGGAAGAGATGCCTCCTCAAAGTAGTGTTGACCATGATGACGTGAATGGAGTAAAGCTTGTGGGAGTAAAGGGCTCAGGACTTTTATTGCTGATGGGGCACAACTCAAAATGAAGAGAAACAGCTGTAAAAATCCGTTAATAATCATAACATCGAATGTGAGAAGTATGAATCAAGGAAAATTAGAAATTGTCAAAAATGAAATGGAATGCATAAACATCTATATTTTAGGATTAGTGAGCTGAAAGGGACTGGTATTGGCCATTTTGAATCTGACAACCACATGGTTTACTATGCCGGGAATGACAAACTGAGGAATAGTGTTGTATTCATTGTCAAAAAGAACATGCACCTTCAGGGAAGCCCAGTTAATACCACTATTATTCAAATTTAAGCACAACCACTAAAGCCAGTGAGGAAGAAATAGAAGGATTCTACCAACTTCTTCAATCTGAAATTGATCAAACGTGCAATCAAGATGTATTGATTATTACTGGTGATTGAAATGCAAACGTGGGGAGCAAAGAGGAAGGATCAGTAGTTGCAAAATATGGCCTTGGTGATATAAATGATACTGGAGATCACATGATAGAATTCTGCAAAATCAATGATTTTTTTGTTTCAAATACCTTCTTTAGACAGCATAAGAGACAACTATAAACATGGACCTCACCAGATGGAATACATAGAAATCAAATTGACTACATCTGTGGAAAGAGACTATGGAAAAGCTCCACATTATCAATAAAAACAAGGCCAAGGGCAGACTGTGGACCAGACCATCAATTCAATTACTCATATGCAAATTCAAACTGAAGCTGAAGAAAATGAAAACAAGTCTATGAGAGCCAAAATATGGCCGTGAATATATCCCACCTGAATTTAGAGATCATCTGAAGAACATATTTGATACATTAAACACTAAAGACTGAAGACCAGAAGACTTGTGGGATGACATCAAGAACATCATACATGAAGAAAGCAAAAAGTCATTAAGAAAACAAGAAAGAAGAAAATGGTCAAAATGGATGTCAGAAGAGACACTGAAACTTGTTCTTCAGTGTAGAGATGCTAAAGCAAATGGAAGAAATGAAGAGGTACAAGAGCTGAACAGAAAATTTCAAAGATCAGCTCGATAAGATAAGGACAAATATTACAACAAAACGTGCAAAGATCTGGAATCAGAAAACCAAAAAGGAAGAACACACTTAGCATTTCTCAAGCTGGGGGAACTGAAGAAAAAATTCAAGCCTC